ACCTTCCTTCCGAGGAGTGGCTGGTAGGTTTGAACTGCCAGCCTTCTGGTGAGCAGTCAAGTGCCTTAGGCACTGTGCTACCAGAGCTCCTTTGTAATTCATTTTACACTTTCTAAAAGTTTAAGTGATAATAAATATATTTAATTACAGCACAATAAAGTATGTAATTTTTAAATAAGACCTATTTGGGGATAGTTTGTGTGAGCTGTACTTCATTTCAGTGATCTTTACCAAATGTCAGCTGTCCTTAAATAGTATTATGGATTGAATTTTGTCCTCCAAAATATATGTTGAAATCCTAGCCCCTGTACCTGTAAATATGAGCCTCTGGTGGCACAGTGCCTAAGGCATTTGATTGCTAACCAGGAGGCTGGCAGTTCAAACCCACCATTTACTCCTTGGAAGGAAAGTTGGGCAATCTACTTCCATAGTGATACTGCCTTGGAAACCCAAGGGGGGGTTGCTATGAGTCAGATGCGACTCATGGCAGTGAGTTTGGTTTTGGTTTTTGGTTTGGAAATAGGGTTGTTTTTATTATTTTTTTATTTTTTAACTTTTTATTGTGATTTCAGTTAAAGTTTACAGAGGAAATTCATTTTCCATTTAACAGCTCATACACATTTTGTTTCAAGACATTGATTGTAATCCCCACAATGTAACAGCTCTCTTCCCACTTCCTCCCTATGGTTACCTTTTCCCTGTGTTCGTCTTTCCTATGCCTTTCTGCCTTCTGAGCTTTCTCCCTGCACAAATGCTGCCCTTCTGATATCCCATGGTTGATGGTTTAAAGAGTGTAACTCCCAGGTATAATTGTTCTCTTCATAGGTCTGTCTGTCATTTGACTGAAACAAGCTGTGGGAGTGAGTTCAGTGCCAGGAAAATAAAACAAGATTCATAACTCTCACCATATACAAAAACTAACTTAAGATGGAGCAAAGACCTAAATGTAAAACATAAAACTGTAAAGATCATCAAAGAAAAAACAGGAGTAAACTTAGGGGCTCTAATTTATGACATAAATAGACTATCGAACATAACCAAAAATGTGTAAAACAGAAGATAAACTAGGTCACTGGAGCTTTATAAAAATTAAATTCTTATGTACATAAAAAAATTAGGGAAAAATAATTTGGCAATGATATATCCCACAATGGTCTTATCCCTGAAATGTATGTATTTATTATATTTATTAGGACATACCAGAGTAGGATTGAGTGCTAAACTTAACCACTTCTGAGTTATAAAAAGAACAGAATGAACACAGAGACACAGACATGGGAAAGAGGAAGACAAACAACAGCAACAGGTAAATCTACAAGCTCAGGAACTCCCAAGGATTGCTGGCAGGTACTAGAAGCTCAGACAGATAAAGAGGGAGCTCCCCTTAGAGCCACACCTTCAGTTTGGAGTTTTAGCTCCCTGAGCTATGCGTTGAGCACTGGGTGTGCTTACTGCTACTAGAGTGCCACTGGTTCTAGGCCCTTTAAGTTGATGGAGCTAGGGAATATGTGTATGTATTCTAACCTGTGTACACACATCTACAATTACGCCTGTATTTATAATGGTGAGTTTGGGTTGATAACTCTGACTCTAATCCATCTTGACAAGTCTCATTCTGGCTTTTTCCACTTGCTTATCTATAACCTCTGTCTGACAGTGAGAACCCTGGCTGGCACCATCCACCTTGTACCTACTTAGAATTTCAATCTCTCGTGGTGTAGTGGTTAAAAACTCAGCTGCTAACCAAAAAGTCAGTGGTTGAAACCTCCCAGCCACTCCATTGGGGGAATGATGTAGCAGTCTGCTCCTGTCAAGATCTAGATCTTGGAAACCTTATGGGGCAGTTCTACTTTGTCCTATAGGGTCACTGTGAGTCAGAATCAACTCATTGGCAGTGGGTTTGGATGGGTATACATGTACTTTCAGAATCATTAACCCATAACCCTGTGAGAAAAAAATTTATCCACTGACACTGTGCTGAGTGAAATAAGTCAATCACAGGACAAATATTGTATGTTATAAAAAGTCTAGGAAAGGTTTACATGGGGAATGAAATTTTCCTTGTTGGTTACCAGGGATAGGATGGGAAGGAAGTAGAAATTGCTCACTGCTTAAGAGACATGTCTTGATTTGGGTGAAGGGAAAGCAATATACAAAAGTGTGTGACCAGCACAGTATCACTAAGGAAAAAAGACAGAGAGAGGTACCACAGGAGGTACAGACAACAGAGGTAAATACTGTTACATAAATAATACTGCATTATCAGTAATAATAAACACTAATCTATGGGTGGATACATAGGTAGACAGGTGTGATAGTTGGAGCTGTGTGTCAACTTGGCTGGACCACAATTCTGTGTGGTTTAAGCAATTGTGATGTGAGTTGTTCCAGTGATGGGATCAGATGTATATGTTTTGATTAGCCAATCTATGGAAAGGGAGTTTCCCTAGGGATGTGGCTTGCTTCTAGTATATTTATGGACATCCTGGAAAAAGACTCTTCTGTGGATTGGAATTCTGTTGTGCTGCCTACAGCTGTCTGTGAGCAATCCAACGTTTGACCTGGAGATCTTGGATTCGTCATTCATTGGAGTCAACAGCTAGTATACCGCCTGCCAACCTTGAGCTCCTCAGCCCCTGCAGCTGCATGAGTCGGGAAAAGCCTCCAGCTTGACGGTTGATCCAAGAACTTTGGACTTACCAACTTCTTTAAATGTGTGAGCCATTTTCCTAAGATAAATTTCCCTTTTTCTCTCTCTATAAGCTTTACTGTTTTTTTTCTCCTCTAGAGAACCTAGTCTAACACATTTGGTATCAAGAGTCGGGGCATATGGAGGTCAAGTTATTGATGGAGTCTTAGCTAAGGTGAGTCTCACAGTGGGTTCAGTGGGTCCCCTAACCCATCTTGTAGTGATTTCCCCAGTTCCAGAATGCATAATTGGAATACATATACTCAGCAATTGGCAGAATTCCCACACTGGGTCCCTGACATGAGTAAGGGCTATTATGGTAGGGAAAGCCAAGTGGAAGCCATTAGAACTGCCTCTACCTACAAAAATAGTAAATCAAAAGCAATACAGCATCCCTGGAGGGGTTGCAGAGATTACTGTCACCATCAAGTTCTTGAAGGATGCAGGGGTAGTGATTCCCACCACATCCCCATTTAATTCACCTATTTGGCCTGTGCAAAAAACAGATGGATCTTGGAGAATGGCAGTAGATTATCATAAACTTAATCAGGTGGTGACTCCAATTGCAGCTGCTGTTCCTGATATGGTATGATTGATTGCTTGAGCAAATTAGTACATCTCCGGGTACTTGGTATGCAGCTATTGATTTGGCCAATGCCTTTTTCTCGATACCAAGTTCAAAGGACCATCAGAAGCAGTTTGCCTTCAGCTGGCAAGGCCCAACAGTATACCTTCTCAGTCCTTCCTCAGGGGTATATCAACTCCCCAGCACTATGTCATAATTTAGTCCGTAGGGATCTTGATCACCTTTCCCTTCCACAAGACATCACACTGGTCCGTTATATTGATGACATTATGCTGATTGGACCTAATAAGAAGTATCAATGACTCTAGACTTAAGTGGTGAGACGTGTGTGCTAGAGGTTAGGAAATTAGCCCAATAAAAATTCAGGCACCTTCCACCTCAGAGAAATTTCTAGGGGTCCAATGGTGTGGGGCATGTTGAGATATTCCTACTAAAGTGACAGGTAAATTACTGTATCTGGCCTCCCCCACAACTAAAAAGGAGGCACAGCGTCTGGTGGGCCTCTTTGGATTTTGGAGGCAACATATCCCTCATTTCAGTGTGTTGCTGTGGCCTATTTATCAAGTGACTCAGAAAGCTGCTAGTTCTGAGTGGGGCCCAGAACAACAGAAGGTTCTGCAACAGGTTCAGGCTGCCGTGCAGGATGCTCTGCCACTTGGGCCATATGATCTGGCTGATCCAATGGTGCTTGAAGTGTCTGTAGTAGAGAGAGATACTGTTTAGAGTCTTTGGCAGGTCCCTATTGGTGAACTGCAAGGCAGACCCTTGGGATTTTGGAGCAAAGCCCTGCCATCCTCTGCAGATAACTACTCTCCTTTTGAGAAACAGCTTTTAGCTTGTTATTGGGCTTTAGTAGAGACTGAATGCCTAACCATGGGCCAACAAGTCACCATGAAGCCTGAGCTGCCCATCATGAACTGAGTGTTGTGTGATCCACAGAGTCATAAAGTTGGACGTGCACAGCAGCACTCCATCATTAAATGGAAGTAGTATATCAGAGATTGGGCTCGAACAGGACCTGAAGGCACAAGTAAGTTGCATGAGAAAGTGGCCCAAAT